CCTCTGACCCTCCCCCCTCTCATGTGCTCTCTCTCTCTCATTCTCTCTGTCTCAAATAAATAAATAAAATCTTAAAAAAAAAAAAAAAAAGAAAAATATTTAAAAAAAAATGTCTGCAAATGGTTACTCAGTTTCGATGTTTAAAGTATATTATTTGCAAAAAAAAATAATTTTTGAGGACCACCTTATTTCTCTAAGACGCCACACAATGATGCCCCAAAATATGAGATGCTGCCATTTGCATACTGTTTGAGAGTGAGTGGTTCCTCCCAAATCGATATGGGTGCACATATCCAGCATGAAGGAAACCTGGATTCCTTAAGCAAAATCAGGATCCAAATATCACATGAAGTAGAAAGGACCTCAGAGATCACTCAGTGCAAGCTCCTGACAGAAAAGTTCGGTGCCCAGAGGGCGCCCATTCATCTCACTGTAGAGGAGGAACTGAAGCTCATGCCCCCTTGCTTTTGGAGCCAGGGTACAACCACCTACCTCACAATGTTCCCTCCCTGGATAGGCTTACTCTTGCCCTCCCCTCCCAGGCCTTTCTGGAATCCAGAGGTTGATCCAGAAGCATGATGCACTCACCTGCAAAAAGCAGTGTCCAACCGGGGTATGCTCCGCCAGGGTGGCGTTGTACACCTGCCTCTGGAAGGTGGGCTCGTTGTCATTCACATCGTCCACGGTGATGCTCACCAGGCAGGTGGCAGAGAGTGGGGGTTCTCCGAGGTCTTGGGCTACCACTCTCAACTCTACTGCCTCCTGGACCTCCCGGTCCAGGCTCCGGACGGTGCTGATCACGCCGCTTTCAGGATCAATAGTGAAGGACGGTCCGCACTCCGCGGTGGGCCACACACCTTCTGGGTTGCAGCGACCCGGAAGGTGGACCAGGGCGTAGCGCAGCCGGGCGTGGTCTGTGCCAGCCTCATCCGCATCGGAGGCGCTGACCCACACGACCGCGGTGCCCGGGGCCGCGGCCTCTGACACTGAGGCCAGGTAATGCTCCCTGCTGAATAGAGGTGGCTGGTCGTTGAGGTCTGCAACCCGGAGCAGCAGCGTTTCCTCTGTGCTCAGCGGCGGGGAGCCCGCATCCGTGGCCACCAGTCGCAAATCATACAGGTCACGGCTCTCCCTGTCCAGGGGCCCCTCGACGCAAAGGAAAAATACCCCGGGGGAGCCGCCAGAGCGCAGTGCGAAGGCTCCATCCCCGCCCTCCAAGGACAGCGAGATGCTCCCGCGCCCCAGGCCAACACCAGGCTCCCCGACGGCCTCCTCTTCCTGCTCGGTACCATCGTCCGCGTCGGACACGGAGACGCGAGCCACGTAATCGCCCAGCGCTGCGCCCTCGGAAACGCGCGCGGCCCCTCCCTCGGTGAGGAAGAGCAGGTGAATGGCGGGCGGGTTGTCATTGACGTCGAGCACGGCGATGGACACGCGTACAGTGGCAACCTCGGGCTCGGCCCCTCCGTCGCGGGCCTCGACCACCAGCTGGTGCCAGGCCTGTGCCTCGCGGTCCAGAGGCCTCTGCACCCGCACCACGCCGCTCAGCTCCTCCACGGTGAAGTAGGCCGCATCGCCCAGTGGCCAGAGCGCCGGCCGGGCGCGGATGCTGTAGCGCACGTGGCCGTTGGGCCCCAGGTCGCGGTCGGTGGCGCGCACGCGACAGACCTCGGCGCCCGGCCGAGCGTCCTCCCGCACCACGGCGCGGTACTCGCCCTGCTCGAAGACTGGCGGGTTGTCGTTCTCATCCAGCACCCGCAGCTCCACAAGCAGGTGGCCCGTGCGCCGCGGGCGGCCGCCGTCCCAGGCCTCGATATGCAACTCGTGTGTCGCCGCCGCCTCTCGGTCCAAGCGCCGCAGCAGCACCAGGTCCAGGGGCTCCAGGGGCGACGAGGACGGTGGTGACCCCGGGGTTCCGTAGCGCAACTGGAAGAACGGTCCTGCGGGGTCCTCGGGAAGGTCGGACGGTTGCAGCAGGGTGTAGCCCTGAGTGCTGAACAGGCCCGCGTCCGGGTCGCGGGCACCTGGCAGGCGGAAGGCGGTACCTGGAGGGCTGAGCTCGGAGACGTCGAGTTGCAGGGAGTCGCGGGGAAAGCTGGGCGAGTGATCGTTCACGTCGTTGACGCGGATCTCCACCTGCACCACGGCGCCCAGCAGCGTGGCGGCCACAAAGCTGTAGTGGTCCCGCCGCTCGCGGTCCAGGCACCGAGCCGTGCGGATGATGCCGGTGTCCGGATGCACGTGGAAGTCGTCCAACAGCGGTGAGTCATCCGAATCCTCGGATAGAAAGAAGCCGCCCCCCTCCTGCTGCTGTGCAGCCGGCAGCCCCGCGCGGATGTCGCCGACTAGAGTGTCCGGAGGAAGTCCCTCGTCCACGGAAAGGCTGAGGTTGAACACCTGGGCATGTGAACCCGAGGCCACGCACAGCCACGCGTGCATGAAGAGCCCGAGCAGGAAGCGCTGAGCCCCGGGGGCGCCGCCGCCGCCCGGCAGCCCGCGGGGTGACCCTCTCCTCCCGGGGAACAGAAGGCGCTTCCCGGCGGGAGCCCCCCGCTGCTGGTGTCCTTCGCCCATCCTCCGTCCAGCAGGGCTCGTTTCTCCGCCAGTAAATCGGGAAGGCTCCCGGGTAACTGCCAGCTTGTGTTGGGGTGGCAGAAAAATCCAGGAGCCTCTTCAGCGTCGGGGCCAAAGAAGAAAAGACTTTGGCAAACGAACAAACCCAGGAGTTCGCGAGGTTCAATCTGCAACTGGTGAAAGCGTCCTCCGCCTGCCGCTCACGCAGACAGGGAACCTCTAGCTGCCTCTGCCGCTGCAGCCACCTCTTCAGCCCCTGGGTTTCTTCCAATGAGTCTCATCTCTTTTTCTCTCTCCTTTTATTCCTTTTACATCTGTTCCTTGTTCTGCTCGGCTTGTTGTTTTCCCCTGGTAAAGTCAGGTGCATTATTTCTTTTGCCAAAAAGGATGAAATTATTTAAAGCGCGCACACACAAGGAGAGGCTAGGGGTCGGCCCGGGGAAGGGGGTGGAGTAAGGGCGGGGAGGCTGAGTGTGGGCGCGGGGCCGGAGCGGAGGAGGGAGGAAGGGAGGGAGAGGAGGCTCCGGCTGCGGCGGTGTCGGCGGCTCCGGGGGCGGCCTCTCCCCGCCGCGTCTCGCTGCGCGGAGGACCGCCCGGCTCCAGCTCCGACCCAGCCCCCGCCGCCCCCCTTCCCTTCTCCTCCCCGCCAGTGACGCGGCGCACACGAGGGCCAACTCCAACCTGCGAGTCGCCGCTCTGCAGCAGGGCGCGCTGTCGCCTGGGTCGGGGACCCAAGAGAGAGGAGCGCGGGAGGAAGGACGCGCAGATTTGGGCCGCGAGGCGGGCGGGGGTCGCGCACGCCGGCCGTCTGCCCCGGCTTTGCGGGCCAAGTGGCGATGGGTGGGGGAGGCGGAAGCAGCAGCCCCTCCACGCCCTCCTCCCTCCATCCCCTGGACGGTTCCTTCGGCAGGCCTGACGTTTGGCTCAGGCTGAGCAGAGGGTGGGGGTTAGAATCACTTTGGGGAACCAAACTTGTGTTCTCCATTTGGCGAGAGAGATTCGTCCCCAGCGGAAGGACAGATGGAGTCAAAGGCCGATGCGCAGCTGGGGCCGGGATGACTGCAAAGGGGGGGAAGGCGGGACTTGGAAAAACCTTCGTGAAACCCCGAGAAATCTGTGATACACATGGTGCGAACCATGCTTTATTATGCCGCGCTACTACTCAGCGACGTGTGAGCGTCTTGTCACTCCCCTCTGCCACCGAGAATGACGACAATAGATTCGGCTTGTGAACACTTTCTTATGCATTCAGCGCCATCACAACACTTCCAGGATGTTTTATGATGCTGATTTATGGGCAGAAAGATGGGGTAGCTCAGGCCAGACCACCTTCCAGCACTTCACCATGGCCTCTGAGCGAGGAAGTTTGCAGCCAGGGCCGCTGCTGACAGCACTTTCAAACTAGCTTCTGAGTCCAAGAAAAATGCCAATAAATTGCCCGTCGCAGGTTTCCCTTCAATTATCTGTAATGATAGGTAGAAGCTGATAAATGGCCTCTAATAAAAAAAATGCCTGAAGAAGGACTCTGCCTTCTTGAGAATGGCTGGTCCTATTTAGCAAATGGTTTCTGCAATTTTGCATTTAGGCCCAAGGGAAGAATTAATTTCCTAGATACTGTTGCTCTCCTTTAAGGAGGACCAACAGCGCTGCATGATGGTTCCGGGCAGCAACAGTAAAATGCCTTTTAATATTTGGTGGACTTACATATACAACTGCTAATCTACACCATTATCTCTACCTCTGACAAAATAATAATAAAACAATTTTATAGCAGATATGTTGCATGTAAATAGAGACATTATTAAAATACATCCAGCTGCCTCTCACCGGTGAAGTTTCCTTACCATTAAGGAGACCAGGTGTGAGTCTTTAGAATCTTCTTTCACCTCAACCTCTTCAATCTCACTTGAACCAGTCCCCTGCCTCTACTCTTACCCCTCTATAAGTAATTCTCAGCCAAGCATCTGGATTATTGTTTTTAAAGCTAATTCAAATCCTGTCTCCCCCTGCTTAGAACCTGCCAATGTATTTCCATTATACTTGGATTATAATTCAGGCTCCTTCCAATTGTACAAAACTAACATGGCCCTACCCACCTTTCCAACCTCATCTTATACCACCACTCTTGATCCAGATATACTGCCTTTTTTCTGATACTGGTATTTGCTACAGACTGAATGTTTGTGTCTTCCTCAAAATTCATATGTTGTCGTCCTTCCGCCCCCCCGCCAACATGATGGTATTAGGAGGTGGGGTCTTTGGATTAGATGAGGTCACGGGATTAGTGTCATAAGAGGAGAGAGCCTGATGCTCTCTGTTCTCTGCCATGTGAGGAACATAGGAGGTGAGCAGTCCACAACCAGGAAGAGGGCCCTCCCCACAACTTGACCATGCTGATGCTCTAATATCGGACTTCTAGCTTCCAGAACTGGGAGAAATAAATTTCTGTTGTTTATAAGGCACCTAGTCTATGGTACTTTTTTATAGCAGCCTGAAGACAGGGCATTTGAATTGTTAAAACTTTTCTGTGCCTGGGAGTTATTTCTTCTGCTTTGTGAAGATTTGGCTCTATCTCATTCAGGTCTTAATTCAAATGCTAACTGTTTGGAATCCTCCCTTGACCACGCTTACTCAAGTAGCTTCTCCACCATAAACCCTTATCCTCGTATTAGGTTTCATTCACAACACCTATCGGAGCCTGAAATTAGCTTGCTTTATTCAGTTGTTTATTAAATTATTGTGATCTCAACCCTCTTCATGCACTTGAAGCATTGCTTTATCCCGGAACCCAGATCAGTACCTATCACGTAAATGGGTCTCCATTCACTAAACATGTGTTAGATGACTGGAGGGATGGTTGGTTTAGCTGATGGGTGGATGGAGGGATAAGTCTGTTAAAGGAGAGGTTTGATAATTCAGAATTAATTGACCATGAAATCCTTTATTGTGATGAATTGTATCTTCACAGTTTACTCATTTTAATCATTCTACGGGGCTTCGTGAACTAATTTTTGAACTTCAGCTTATTTTGCAGAGTGTATTGTTACCAAATATTTACTTGAGTCTAAAAATAAAAGAAAAGCAGCTAGTTACTCTGCATCTTTCACTGACATTCTTTGTAAACAGTGGTTTGGTTTAGAAACAAATGAAAAATCAAAAACTTCAAACATCTATTTTCCCACTAGTTTTTAAGCTTTATAATTTAAGCATGTGCAATTCAAGGTCTCCTGCCCACTTCATACCCTTCATTGAATGCCTTGAGCAGCATTCTAAATTGAAAATTCAATTTGGTGGGGTTAAAAAAAGGGAGCATTTCTCAAATATGCAAAAAACAATTTTAGATTCTAGCACAGAAGCCAATAGCTTGCAAGAAATAGGTCAAGTCTGACCCTCTTGGGAGGAGTATCACGGTGTAACTGGCAGGAGTCTGGGCATTGAAGCTGGGCAACCTTGGCTCTGCTCTATAATTGTGGGCAGATTATTTCAATCTTGTTAAACCTCAGTTTCTTGCTGTCTAAATTGGGGGTTATACTATCTAATTTATAAGACGTTATGAGTCTTGAGTGAGGCAATGTATGTAGACTAGCACATAGAAGGCATCAGCAAATATTACTTCTCTTGCCCCTGTTGTTTGTGTGATGAAATATCTTAGGGGTGAAGTGGTTTGGGATTCTCAGTCATATCAAATTCTGACTTCTTAGCCCTCCTGAGTGTGTGGAGAGGGAGATGAAAACCTCCCAGTATCACAGAGAGCAGCCATCATGGGCAGAAAAGCCCAGAGCAGATCTTCACCCAGTGTTACATGGTTTAAGTAGTACAGGAAGTCCATCATCAAAAAACGTTTTCTCCCAGACTGTAGATAGTCCCTAGTTAACTTAAATAGTCTAAATAGTTACTAAGTGCTCATAATGTTCAAAGCTTCTCCCACCAATCCTTTGGCAGGGGTGGGGGGGGTGGGGGGATTATAATTACTATCCCATGTTACAGATGAAGAAACTGAGGTTCAGGGCATTGCAGGTAACTTGGCCAAAGTCACATAGGTGTTAAGTGGTGGGATTGGAATCTGAGCCCAGACAGCTTTGCTTCAGCGTCCTTGGCCTTTGGAGCTTTTCACCGGTCATTTATCATCTCTATGATTTTCTGCTTAAGGCGAACTGCCTTGCTGCTCAACAGCAGAAGGAAGAACTCTAGACAGCATATTTGTGTAATGGTGGGATGGCACGGGAGAAGAGCCACAAGGAAGTGACTCCTTGAGAGTGCACCGAGAAGAAACTATTTAGAAATGGGCATTAAAGCCAAGTGAGGAGGAAGATCCTGTGGAAGATAGAGGGCTTCTTCCCACCTCTTCCCCCAGAAGGAAGACCCTCTGAGGCTAGGAAGGACACCTTCACAGCAGGGGGTGCCTCTCCTATTTTTGGCTCACATGTTATTATCTCTCTAAGAGGATGAGCTAAAGAATGGAACTCGTGATGGTTAAATTTTATGTACCAATTTGGCTAGACTATGGTGCCAAGCATGATAGGTAATAGAGCACTACTCTAAATGTTGTTGTGAAGGTAATTTGTAAATGCAATTAACATCAACAGTGGGTTGACTTTAAGTGAAGGAGAGTGCACTTGACCATATGGTGGGCCTCACATAATCAGTTGAAGGCCTTAAGAGCAAACTGAGGTTTCCCAGAGAAGAAGGAATTGTGCTTCAAGACTGTTACATAGAAATCCTGCCTGAGTTTCCAGTCCGCTGGCCTACCCTCCAGATTTTGGACTTACCAGCCCACGCAATCATGTGTGCCAATTACCAGGTATGTATTGGTTCTGTTTCTCTAAAGAACCCTGACTGATACAGAGCTTTATAAGAAGAGATGATTTAATGTCTATTATCATAGTCTGTATTTGATATACATATATTTCATGTTCTGAAAGTATTAAAATCAGAATCCTGGACATGATGGAGGTCTCACCCAGAGAGGTGATTTCATGATAGGTAATCAAGTCTACTTCCCTACCTTAGGATCTAAGTGTCCAAAAGAGATGATAGTCTTTTCCCTCTTTTTTTAATTTTGAGCACAGATTGTGTGCACACCCATTCTATTTTCCGAGCCCAACAGAATATAATTAAATTTTATAGAGTACTTGTCTCTGTTT